CTGGCAGACTTCAATAAATCAGTTTAATCTTAACCTGGCAGTTCTCCTGTAGAAAATTAATAGGAGATCCTCAAGGCAAAAATTACCAACGAAATTATTACAACAAAGGTAAAACTTATATAAAAATTAATAAATCTATAACATCACAAAACAAGCATTAAAAAGTGTTAAACATATACTTAGAAAGCATGCCCAAGCGCATGAACTTTTAAAAAAGTTTTAATGATTTCAAATGCGCGTAAGAAACTGTATTATTCATTCCTTATTTTTTCTTGATATATGGAATTAATAGAACCGTGAGGGAAGTAGACCTTACCAAATAACAAAAATAAACTTATCAAAAGTGTTCATAAATGACCAAGCTTTGAGGTAGCAAACATAAAAAAGTACAAACCATTTGAGAACCTAGTCCTTTTATTGAAGTTGGTTAAATGTGTCACGTTTCTTGAAATGCGAATGTTTGAAAGTTGCCATAATCAAATAAATAACCAACAAGACAGTAGGTACAATATTTATCTAAACACACATCCGGGCAGTTCTGTCTAAAAAAAAGTTCGGTACAGTAGTGTTAGTACAGGAAGGATTCGGTATGCGGAAATTTCGCATAACCTAACCGTTACAGCTTCTTGCTCGGTCAGTTTTTGTACTGAGCAAAAACCGATTCGGGCGTTAAACAGTTGGTGCAAAAATATCGCTAGTTAATATGAGTATCGTGACTGAGTTGTATATATCAGTATAGCACGGCTTTTTTTATATGTCTAATAATGAAGTACAAATGAGTAATTCAATTTAAGAGGATTGGTTTTCATTTTTTTAACTGGCAATCAGACATAGGTATTTAAACTGAAGATATGATCCTCCTTTTCCAAGTCACACTTATACTGTAGCGAAAAAAATATTGCAAGATTAGTCATCATCATCATCAGCAGCCTTTACTAGTCCACTGCTGGACATAGGCCTCTCCTTAGAAAGGAGGTTTTGGCCTCCTACACCACGCTGACCAGACGGGTTGGTATAGGGTTTGTGTCAAGTTTTCCTTCTCTCTGCAGTGCTGTTGTCCTGCGTACTTTGCTCCCTTAGTCGGCTCTTACGACACCCACGAGATGAATAGGGGTGGTGACACTCTGTATTCTTAATGCGTCACCACACGGACCAAGATCAGTAACTAAATAAAAATAAATAACGATGGCGCGAAAATAATTATCGCATTTTATGATCTAATTCAAAAAAAATATTATTTGCATATCATAGGTGCATTTTTTCCAGTTTGACAGTGACATGACATTTAATACATTTCCATAGACTAAACAAGAGTAACAAAAAGCAGCGTTGACAAAAACTAGAAGTGGTAAAAAAGACAGAGTTAAAAAAAGCCACCGTGTACCGTGAGAAAAAAAGACGCTAAAACAAAAAGCTACCGTGACAAAAATCATCCGTACGTGCTCTTCCTTAGGAATTACGGTAGTTTTTATGATATAAGGGGAAACTGAGCAGTCGGATTACCTGATGTGATAGTAAGTGAGTACAGTCGCAAATTGACACCAGAAACTAGAGACATAAGTGTGTTGTGTTTTGTGAAAAGAATCGAAATAATAGTTTTAGAGCAGTTTTCTGTGAAGTCGCTATCACTCCGGTCTAGTAAACCCATATCTAGCAAATTATGGCTGACACAATGTCAGTAGTTACTACATTTTATAGAAAGGTCAAAGTAGTCATACGCCTTTTAATGAGGTACCTAAATCGCGAACTATTTTTTTTTGTGTTTACGATGCAGTGGACTGTTATAGGCTGTTGATGTGATGTGATGTGATATGATACATTATGTATTCATATAAACCTCGATCAAAGTTTATCAGTTGTGTTATTTTCTAACCATTGTTCAGGGATATCTGATGAAAAAAAAAACAGGTCTTCAATTTCTGTTTCAACTTTTTAAAATTGAAAAATGGGTCTTTCCAAATTGAAGAACCTAGGATATTGTCCCGACGCGGCGCGGATGGCGTGGTGGTTTAATCGGTCGCCACGCCGCTTCCTACTGCGCCGAGTTTTGTGGGTTAAAACCCCACACGGGACAACACTTTGTGTGATCCACAAATTGTTGTTCTGAGTCTGGGTGTTCTTTGTGTCCGTTTCATGTATGTTTGTAAAGTCCCCCGCGACACAGTATATATTCCTAATGCGGGAGTAGTCTTTTTGTAGAACAAAAAAATCGGTTGTCTGTAAAGTCGGTTTACTGACGATAGTTGAACGTGACAACGTCATAAGAAAATACTGATGGAATGGTTGCATTTTTCAAAAATGTATTATGGTATACGAGTAGCAGCTGTCCACGCGGACGCATCGCTCACTCAAGTAGGAGAGAGACAGATGTCGAACGCTGCCGAAAGCGGAGGCCGATTGTGCCTCTTTGTCACTCGTTCCGCGCTCTCGCTTGCACTTCACGCCTTAAATGGAACGCCTCAGACCGAGGTAACGACGCATGAGTCATGTTTTTTCGTGCGTGCAGCCGGCTCCATCGAATTATAAGACGTTGTCACGTCAAAAAAAACTTAACAAGGTGACCAACTCGTTATTTAGCTCTTGCGTAAATTGTATCTAGTGTCCTTTGCTATGTTTTGAAATCTATCCATATAAAATTACTTGCCCTAACTGACTGTTTCATGAACGCAGAGCCTAAACCACTAGGGCTGTAAACTTGAAATATGGGCTGTTGATGCTTTTTATGTTGTAAGCACCCACTACGAAAGGATTTTTGGTAATTTTATCCCAAGGGAGGTAAAATAAGGGATTAAATATTGTTTGGAAGTTCGTCATATTCAAAGTTAGACACACGAAATAATAAGTAATCATGTAAGCGAAGGCGATGGCAATCGCTAGTATTTTATAAGATAAAATTCTGATATGAATGGAACTATAAGTTAATATCAAAGATTAATACGATATTGGTACGTGAATTTATTAGATAGGTACTTAGAAATGTGCAAACACGAGGAAAATCAAGAAGAAAACATTTTAAAAAGAAAAACAATGCAATTTCTTTTTCAGGCTGACCTCATGATAAGAATATTAAAAAAATGACCCTAAATCATTTCCACACTACACCATTCTGTAACACTGTATATGAAATCAATTTACTTAGGGCCTCTTTGCCCTCAAAAACTAGAATGCGAAAACCGAATACTTTGTGTAAATACGTTTTAAAGTTTATTGACACCCAGTTAGCACATACGGTACTGTAACAATGAAGAAATACCATAACTATTTAAATATTTAAGTAAATAGTACCGCTATATAATAATTTAAACAACTACGGGTTAATGGGCGTGTCAGCTTTCTTTTGTAAAGGGATTTCAACCGTACATCATAGTAAAATTTAAATCAATGTTCTACGTATAACGAAACGTATTATACGTATTTTTTGTTATTGCAATAGTTGTCATTGCAATAACAAAAAAAAAACAGTGCTCGTGAAGTTAAAAGTTAAGGAGGATTCTTTAATTAAATTTGAGAATATTTTTAAACGCCGCGCTGTCAGTGTTGCCTTACTGTCAGTATGACAGGGTTTCGTAAAAAAATAAAATGTACACATTATAAAAATATCAAAAGTTAGTAAAATAATTAATTAAAATAACAGTTCACCTTAATTTTTCGTATTATTATTAAGAAAATTATGAAATCGTTAAGTCGTTGGCCGAGTTTTATAAATGAATGAATTACAAGCAAGTATGATCAAAGTATTGTATTATTTATGTATTGTGAAAGGAAAATAGTGACGAAAATAATTTTAGTAATTTTTATACTTAATAGGTTTTTTTTGCTCTGTTTATTTTTAATTGAAGATACGCAATAGAGACATTATTAGCCACAATAAATACTCCTACACTAACTTTTTAAATATTTAGCCTTATTTATGTAAAATAAGATAAGTCGATTGACATCCCTGGCGCTTTAGGATTTAGATGTAATGGGAAAATATTGAAAGGAGATTGACAGGAGAGAGATACATATCTCTCTTTTTAAAGACAACACCCGCATTAAGATTATATTCCTGTGTGGCGGGGGACTTTACAAGCATATATGAAACGGACACAAAGAACACACAGACTCAGAATTTGTGGATCACACAAAGTGTTGTTCCATGCGGGGATCGAACCCACAACACTCAGCGCAGTAGAAAACGGCGAGGTAACCGCTTAAACCACTACGCCATCCGTGTAGTCATTATCATCATAACCATCTCTGGGCCCTCGTAATCAAAATGGCCACCAACGTCTTTTCTTTAAAACAAATAAAGTGATGAGCATGATCATTTGTTCTGTGTCTGGGTATAATTTATCTATAATATGTATGTTTTTAGAAATATATAAGTATGTTTATCAGCAGTCTGGTTACCATAGTACCATAGGCTCTGCCTCGTTTGAGATCAGACGGTCGTGTGTGAAATGTGTGAGGTATATTATTATTATTTGTATTTTTAAAGCATAATCTTATAAAACAACTGGCAGAGGTAGCGTAGACAGTGGTAGGGGAAAGGGATATTGTAATTTACTACAGCCTGCAACCTGAAACTACAGAGATATACGTGCTTATCCGCCATTTGAGAGCCCTCAGCCGAATCAGGGGAGGCTCCCTCCCCTTGAGTTGTCATCTGATAACCTCACTCACTCGGTGAAAATCAACCATAGAATTTCTTATATCAGTATCACTCATAGTGTCATATGTGCCGAACCATGATATTCCAACGATGGTATTGTATCAATATCTTAAAAACACTTATCATCATTTCAGCCGAAAGACGTCCACTGCATGACATAGGCTGCGACAACAGGACAAAAACAAAACAAAAAGGAGCAAAACACTTCAGATATGTAAAAAAACGATCCTTTTTAGTTACCTCTAGTTTCGATTGAATTACACCAATCGTGGTCATCACAGTTACTACAAAAAGTAACTTTCCCACACCAAACTGTGATCAGTTCCCAATACCGTTTAAAAAACAATTACGACGATTTTAATGTTAAGTTGCGTCGAAGCGGCGTCGTGCCGTGATAATGTTGGGCAACGTGACCCACGACCCCAGCGCTGGGCGCGAAGCCACCATCACGCGTCTTTAGTCACGTAATATTCATTAGAATATCTTATTTGCTTTTTTTTTAAAAGGTAAAAAAAAAGGTAAAAAAAAAGGCCAAAACTTCCTTTCTAAGGAGAGGCCTATGTCCAGCAGTGGACTGCTAAAGGCTGTTGATACGTTAAAGTTAGCTTTTAAAAAATGTTACTTTGTACTGTTTTGTGAAAATTATCACTAAACTGTAATAAATTCGCAAAACTAAGTACTGTTTTGAATATTTATATGCACGAAAATTAACACCATGGGAAAATTAAATACAAATTAGCAACGATATCATTTTAGTTACGCGTCAACAAAGTCACGAACGCATCATCTCAATAGAGATAAAAAATGCATATTCAAATGTAACAATTTTACACAATGTTACTCGGTCTATTTAACGCGATATATTCGTAAGTGTTATACATAATTCACACAATGAACTCATCATCCTTTATAAAAGAAATTACAGCTAATTAAATGTGGTAAGCCTCCATATAAATTTCATGATGTGCTTCGCTTGCGTCAAAATTATTTACTGTTTTTTTTTACACACGTAAAATTCCATTCATTTTTTTAGAACTAACAGTTCTTAACAATCTTAATTTTATATATTATTACACTTTTCTTTATTTTATACTCACGATATTATATACTGATTGATGATACAATTAATTTTGATTTTATTTTAATGAGCAATGGCTACACTGATTTGTTGAAAAATAAAAAATAAAAGAGAAAAAAAATGAAGAATTCAAAATACCTTCTTGGCGCAAGGCAGCGGTATGTTCAATGGGATAATTTTGATATCGTTATAATGAATTAGTTTGGATGATTTCAATATTTTTTGTTGTAAAAATAACTTCGATATATGTTATTATTACCTTTAGGTACAGTTTGAAATAAATATCTTTGTCTGTGGTCTGTAATAATAATTTAACTGCCTAAGTTTTGCACAAATTTATTCTCAATTGTTTTAACTCGTGTTGTGGTCTTATTAGTTTTCTCACATTAACATTTGTATGATGAATTTAGTATGCAAAACATGGAGAAGTATAAACTTGTAAAATTTGTAAATTTTTACTAAATTTGGGCGATTTGTTTATATTTATTGTTGCGAGTTGTGAATAAATTAGTATTTAAAAAAATGTAGGTTATAAAAACTTGTCTTTGTCTGAATCTAGCTATATCGTGATAATTTAGGTAAGTTGTGTTTTAATCTCACTAGTTATTTCAAATTGATTGCCTTACGCGCTTAACAGTGTGGAGCGGTGGTAATAAAAACATTGAGACACATTGTTCGATCTCAAATCAAGCTTCCTTAAGATTTTTTTTTAAATTTCTAACACCTGTAATTTCCCGTAAAAAAACAAACCCTTCGGTTTTATTAAACTAGTATTGATATATCTGCTAAAACTCACCGTGCTAGCGGGATGCGCAGGCATGAGCACTAGGGGCGCATGCGGTGGCTTCGGCCTGGGCTTTCGAACACCGCGACGCCGCCCTGTGGTCGCTGGCTGAGCTCCTTGACGCCCCAGCCACCGCGTCACCAGCTTCTCCTTGCTGTTTGCGCTACCGTACTCCGGCTCCTCCTGTACATCATCAGACACTGATTAATGATGATCACATTCATTTTAAATCAACTCTTGGTTTATCACCACTTGAATTTTCCAAGAATAAAAAACCGTTTCGAGACAACTCCTTTAAATAAACTTTTTTAAATGTGAATAAATCTCAATTAAATTTTTAATTTAACTCTTCACGTTTTAGTAAAAATCAATACTGTAATTATAAATATACAACTCGTACATTGTCGCCGCATTGATTTTCCCATTCCCCAGAATATTGGGCTCACAGAAAACTGTGGTTACAACAAATATTTAACAACGAAAAAAGTAAAAAAGTATAACAAGGTAGGATACCTTCTTCTTCTTGAGTGTTCCCCCTTGCAGCTTCGTCTCCAGCTCTTTACACAGCTCGTGATTCTTGACCCTCTCCATATCGTGAGCCTTCTTGACTTCGTCAACATTGACCACGAACTGCTGTACCGGCTTGAAGGTCGGATCAAACTGGTTGTGGTCGAAGGCCTGTTTCGGTCTGAAGCAGGGGCAGATACGCTTCGAAAGGTGATAGATGGTGATGATACACACCAAGCAGTGGACGGTAGCGATGATGAGCAATGCGATGTTGGTGAGGACTGGGGTCCACGCCTCCATTTCATCCTGTTGAAGAGAGTATTGTTAGTGATTGATTCATTCCATTCCTCCCTTTCTAAGGAGAGGCCTATGTCCACCAGCGGACTACTAAAGGATGATGATTAGTTCCTAGATTATTTTTGAAGACATCTTATTAATATTCAAAAAGGATATAGAGTATCTGGACAACCATTTTATGTATGACACAATACCTGGGTAGGAACCATATCTGATACTAGGCTTGTTAACCATTTTACTCTGCGCCATCCGGATCCATCCAAGAGTAATTTTGTTTTTGATCAAAATTTATGGCATGTGTAGTTCTTCTACAAATGCCATGAATTTCAAGAATAAAATCGAATATAGAATAGATAGAAAAGAAGTGAGAAGCTTACAGATCTTGGATAAAGTGGAAAATGTCCCATTAATACAAAACTCCGGTTCCGAAAAAATGGTGTCACACATAGTCAAACTATCTATAATTCAAAATTTTACACTTTCATCGCCAGCAATTATCGATTGATGTGTACACAATTATCCAAACGGCTTGAGGTCAACGCGCCTCACTAAAGGTCGGCTGACCTCAAACTAAACACGCCTTTGCCACACACTGTCTAAGAAATAGCTAATCATCACTTCATTTGTCAGTATTGTTCATTAAATTAATATTGAAATACATATGATGTTTATAAATGACTTTTGTAATCTCTACTTTTTATAATTAATAAGACTAATCCATCTCCAGGTCTTGGATACTTGGCACTCCACCGCTGTGCCCTTTCAAGAAACTTTTTAGGTACCTTTTTTTTTACGTGTGGAAACCCGTGGCCGTCACCAAACCGGGAATAAGGGCAGGGTGGTGTGTCGGAATCGGACCGACTAAAACCACACGGTGAGCCACTCTACGCCTGTAATAGTAATCCGGGAACTCCTAGTACAGCTAATCTCACTGCACAGATGGCGTAGCTGTTTAAGCGTTTACCTCGCCGATTTTTACTGTACTAAGTTTTATCGGTTCGATACAGAGAGAGAGACCACAAGAAGAAAGAACTGTTTTTATCCAAGTTTTGACTGCACGGATGGCGTAGTGGTTTAAGCGGTTGCCACACCGCTTCCTACCGCGCTGAGTGTTGTGGGTTCAATACCCACATGGGACAACTGTTTGTGTGATCCGGAATTTGTTGTTCTGAGTCAAGACTCAGACAAATATTCATGAAACGTAAGTTCATCAATTTGCAAAGTCCCCCGCGACACAGGATGTTTTCCTAGTGCGTGAGTTGTCTTTTTAAATAAAAAAAGAATCTCTGGAACAAATTATCCCCTGAATTTATGGCTGTGTTAAATACTATCTACTATTAAGATGGCAAAATGGCACGTGACGGTAAGTGATCTCAGAGCCGGAGAAGTGAGAGCATTTATCAAAAGAGTTAAGATCGGTATTTACCGATCTTGTCATGGTCTCGAATGATCTCAAATGAATCTATTCCCCATATAAATTATATGTGTTAATAGTTTAGTTATGTATTTAACATTTGTGTGCATGAACATTTGATGTTTGATTTGGTCTGGGTGTTTCTATGTATAATATGTATGTATTTACAAAAAATAAAGAATATATGTATTTATATCAGTTGTCTAGTGCCCATAGTACAAGCTCTGCTTAGTTTGGGACTAGATGGCGTTGTGTGTATGTGGTAGAATATTATTATTATTAAAATACGTAACGTAAACGTAACACGTAAAGATTAATTACAAAAAAAAAGGAAGTACCTTTATTTAGTAACTAAGTAATTAGGTACAATTAAAAGAAATATTTTTTTCGGTGATGTAAAACTTTTTACACCGGTTCCTCACAGTTTGTCTGCGTTCGCGGTCACTCTTCCGCATAAAGCCGAAGCGTGATTAACACATTAACCTATAATCGTTCTCAATGAATATTGTAACAAATACAGAAAATAATTATTTACATCTGATTGATAGTTCCAGAGATAAACTCATTTAAAAAAACAATCAACCCAAAAATCTCTTCATATACATTTACAGATCGTATACGGTATTTTAATCACAGTATTTGAAAGTATAATACTCGTTAAAGTTATGCTATTTTTTTATCTGAATGGAGTCAATCTTTGCGACGAATTTATGAATAAATACAAAATAAAATGTTTCAATAATTTAAATGGTAAAACAAGAAAGGTTTGATTCATAGTTTAATACTGTTTTATTTATTCTGTTGATTTCGTTTTTCAATCTGTATTTTAAAAAGAATGGCGATGATTTTTATACTTTTTCAAGTAATAGATAACTACAACTATTTTCGGCATAAACAAGATTTATTTCTTTTTATCGTCAAACGGCAGACGAGCGAAACTGACTAATCTCATTAAATAACGTTTCAACTAAATGTCACTTACGCTGATATCCCCCACTCTCTGCCCTTCAGCTATTCATCAGAAAGTTACACTGTTCACCCTTTTATAAGCATAAGTACCTTTTAACGTATGTACTATGTTAGTCAAACTGTAGTATTATTTGCCTACTTACAGTGTAAGTACCTGCTTTTATTTTTTAAACATTTTTTTGTTCAATATCAACTTTTTATATAATAAATAAAGTTACGGTTACCACGGTTACCAAACAAATGAGGCATTGGCTATAAAGTATGCTGTTTTAGACTAATCATCTATATAGATATAAAGATGATAAGTTGGTTGGAGTACACTTAAAAAACTCAAATAGTTCTGAAGCGATTGAGCTCAAATTTTGACACTACAGCCCGCTTTAAAGATTGTTTTACATAGTTTCTTCATACAGTATTATGCTTTAATGACGTGAGACATGACATCACCACTTAAATAATTACTACACTTAAACAGACAAGTGACTTCAAGAGAGGAATTGAGCTCATCACCATTATACAACCTTGACATATGATGACAACCACATCCGGTCATTTACTACACCAAAAACATTTGTTTGATACAGTGACCAAAATACCATCTACATATAACTTGTAACCCGAGCGTATTAAATAATGTCAGATGATGGAGGCTATGTGCTAATCTGCATCGAGTCACTCTGACAATCAGACCTGATGTTTTCAATCAATCAACAGCCTATAATAGTCCACTGCTAGACATAGGCCTCTTCTTAGAAAGGAGGTTTCGGCCTACTATACCACGCTGGCCAGACGGGTTGGTATAGGGTTTCCAGACTGAACCGGGACCTACTAGAGGAGGCAGCCATAATTCACTCGTGGCTGTCTCCTCAGGCTCCGACCGAGGAGGTCGACGTGGGGGCTGGTCGCTTTCGCGATGCGATGACGCATGTATGCGATGCGGCCATGCCCCGCATTCGAGGTCGTCGGCCTCCAAGGAAGGAGGTCTACTGGTGGTCCCAGGAGCTGGCGGACCTCCGTGCGGCCTGTACACGTGCCCGGAGGTCCTACACGCGCAGTCGGCGGCGTCACCGTGGAGACGGTGAGGAGGACCGGCTTCATGAGGAGTACCGACGGGCGCGGAAAACTCTGAAGCTGGCCATTAGCCGCGCCAAAGAAGAAAAGAGACAGGAGATGCTGGAGGGTCTTAATCGTGACCCCTGGGGTCGCCCTTACCGCGCGGTGCGACAAAAGCTCCGCGCGTCGGCCCCCCCCCTTACGGAGACTCTCCAGCCCAGCTTCCTGCGAGAAGTGGTTGAGGGCCTTTTCCCACAACGGGCGGAACACACTCCCCCGTCGATGGCCTCCCTGGCCGGAGACGACGGGGAGCACGGGGAGGATAATGTTCCGCCCGTCCGGGATTCGGAGGTAGGGGCGGCTGTTCTACGGATCCGTTCCAAGAACACCGCCCCTGGGCCTGACGGGGTACCGGCCCGAGTGCTGGCCCTGGCCCTCAACCACATGGCAGACCGCCTCGGGGAGGTGTTCGACGCTTGCTTGGCGTCGGGACGCTTCCCTGAGTGCTGGAAGAGCGGGAAGCTGGTCCTATTGAGTAAGCCGGGACGGCCTGCCGATTCGGTCGCGGCCTATAGGCCCATCGTGCTGCTGGACGAGGCGGGCAAATTGTTTGAGAGGGTTCTTTCTGCCCGCATCGTCCGGCACCTCTGCGAGGTGGGCCCCGATCTGTCGGACGCCCAATTTGGTTTTCGGGCGGGGCGTTCGACAGTCGACGCCGTGTTGCGCCTGAGGGCCGTGACCGAAGAGGCCGTGAGCTGTGGCGGCGTGCTGTTGGCGGTGTCATTAGACATCGCCAACGCATTCAATAGTCTGCCATTCAGCTGCATCAGGGAAGCACTCCACTATCATGGGGTGCCAAAGTACCTGAGGCGGCTAGTGGCAGACTATTTAGAGGAGCGTACCGTCGTGTACGAGGACCGAGAAGCCCCGTCGTGGTCCACCCCCTGGCGCCTCAATCGTGGTCAACTCGGTCCTCGTACCGGTTCGGGCCCAGATGAAATATCTGGGCCTGATCCTCGACGGGAGGTGGCTCTTCGATGAGCACTTCCGACAGCTTGCTCCAAAGCTGGTCGGCGCTGCGTCTGCCCTAGGGCGACTCTTGCCCAATATGGGTGGACCCAGCGTCGCGACAAGACGGCTGTACACGGGGGTTGTCCGGTCAATGGCACTGTACGGTCAGAGCCATACGCGGTTACCGCACCGTCTCGACGGAGGTGGCATGCGCGTTGGCCGGAACTCCCCCGTGGGATTTGGAGGCGGAAGTGCTCGCCGAAGTTTATCGGCAAGTGGCTGACTCCCGGGCGGAGAGCGGATTTCGCCCTCCGCCCGAGGATGTGCGCGAGTGGCGCGAAGCCGCTCGCCGAGCCACGATGGCTCGTTGGTCGTTCCGGCTGGAGACTCCACGCGCTGGCTTCGCCGCCGTGGAGGCTCTCCAGCCGGTCATCGCTGAGTGGGCAGGGCGGCAGCACGGGACCCTTTCCTTCCGGCTGGCGCAGGTGCTTTCCGGGCACGGTTGCTTCGGAAAGTACCTGCACTCGGTCGCTAGGAGGGATGGCGTAGTGCGCTCGGATGG